AGCTGATAGCAGAGGGGCAATGCTGGAATCACAAAGGGTTAAAAGAAAAATACCTGTTGATGTGCCAGAAATTCACTGTCATTTCCTTTGAGTGGTGTCAGCCCTGCCCAGTCGTCTTTTGCTAAGCTACTCAACCACTCCCTCTCTCAGATCTCTACATCTTAATGGCTAATCATTCTGTAGTCCAGGATAAGATCTAGGACTCTGGTTCTCAACTCATGGGTCGCGACCCAAAAGTGGGTGGCAACACACTGTTGAGGGGGTCGCACCTGCTCTTCTGGGGAACCGGGAACCATGGCAATATGGATGGAGCTCCGTCGCAGCCCAGCACCCCACACTGGACCTGAGGATCCACCCCAGTTCTTGATAACATAGGGAGACTGGGTGGATCTTAAAAAAAGAAAACATTTTTTTTTTTTTTTGGAGTGTGTATGTGTGTGTGCGAATGCCTGTGAGTGTGAGATTGTGTCTGTGGTTGTGTGTGTCTGTCAGTGTTTTTGAGGGCCCGATCACACCAGTACAGAGTGTTAATTGCACAGTCCCGTGCGATTACCACATTGTACCACGCAAAATCGCACCTACCGCAAATTCTGGTGAGGGAGTTGTGCTGCATTGCTATTCATTTGAATGGCACACCAGACGCACCTCCTGCCCATAGTTTGATCGCCCGCACCGGAATGCGCGGTACCGCAATGCCGTGCGTTCCAATGCGGTGCGACTTGGGTCAGGACTTACTGATCAAGGACAACTGGGGGTCCTGAGGTTACACAGGTTGAGAACCACTGATCTAGGAGGTCCCTGCGCTGTATCACGGGACTGAATTTTCGGCAATATTAGGAAGTTGGTTTGTAGTCCCGGACACGGATCTAGAACAACACACATCCACAAGGGAGCGAATAGGAGTTCAGTGCCGGGATTTCCATTAGTGACCACCAGGTGTCCCTCCAAGTACAGGAGAATGACAATACAATCTGCAAAGCATTCGATCTTCTGATCCATATTATTCTTTTATTATATCATTTCCTGCGAGACAACCAA